CCCCTTCTCCACCAGTTCTACAAAGCGAAGCGACAACAAGTGATGGAAAACGACTGACACGAACGATATGATACAGTACTGCCGTTCGCCAAAAAAAGAAAAAACGGGCTGGCAGTGCGCCAAAACCATCCCCTTAACACGATCCATCATCCACAGCGAACAAGACTGTAAATGCGTCGTGATATGCACAGTGTTCATAATCTACATTTTTTTCTTGAGAATTTTATTGTTTCCTATCTTTGGCAGTGGTATCTGATGATTGTAGTACTGCTGTACACAGTAGTATTTTTAGTCAGCAGTAGATTGCTCGTCAACCGGTGAAAATGGTCGGGTTCGCGCACAAGTGGTCTATCCTCTTCATGCTGCCGCTAGGCATTCGCATATCCAGTGCCTACAGGTGCTTTCTTTCAAGATTATTTTACTTTACTTCTGCATTACAGCACTCTAGTGATTCAAATTGATAGAAAATGTATGCTGAAACAAAATTCATGCGTGCTTTCAGATTTTACGATTGGGTGGGTTTGATATTGATTTTGTGACTGATGAAGGATCAGCCCTTCATGTCGCTGCGATGTTTGGACAAGTAGATGCTGTTAAATATTTAACTGATGAAGGTGAGGTCTATACAAGTCTTCCTTGTCATTCCTCCTTCCCCGGAATAGATGTCACACCAGCATGTGGGTGGGGCTGTCCAAGGTCCTTATTGGCGAACTGCCACAGTTATGCCTAGACCCGCTAATGGCACCATCGAAGAGTTCCGCCCACACGCTCAGCGAGACCACTGCGTTAAGGGCACGCTGCACGTGATTATCTGAAGCAGAGAGGGGGAGTACCTGTTCTTTGTAAGAAAAGAGTTGTTTTTAGCCTGGGAAGTTTTTTTCTTAGTTAACATTACTCTTTTCACGCGCGCTATGTACCCCTAGCCTTAGTCAATCCCGCCGCGATTTAACTTTTTTGAGTGTTGGTCGAAGATGTCTGCCTCGCCTCTTCCCCCTCCCCTCCCCCACCTCCGAGCTCGTCAGCGATTGGTAAGATGGTCCGTAGTATAGGTAATCTTACAGGAGCAGACAATTGGGAGGCGTGGGGAGGGGGGAGGGGGCGGGAGCATCTAGCTCTACCAACGTCAGAACGAGCCCCTTTCCCATTTGAAAGATCAATTCTGAGATATTTGTTGCTTCGACGCGGACAATCTGTATAAGTTAGATCAATGGGGCGCTGGAGCGGATGCCGCGTACGTGACACCTTTTGCAGCGCCGCGTCACCGCTACGCGGAGTTCCCAACCGGCACCCGCGTAGGGGTTATTGTTGGTCGTCGTGGGATACTTATCTATTTCATTGCTCTCCTTTCTGTACATTCCTGTACACCAAATTAGGAGAATGAATCAGTTTTTGAGCTAATTTTTGAAAAGGTGTAGGCCCCTAAGTATCCCTCTTGTACTTTACCAGCTACATCTTTCAATAAGAATCACTCAGAAATTTCAAACAAATGTTCAGGAATCAACCCTCATATGCGTGATAGTAAAGGCAGAACCGCGTTGGAAGTTCTACGTGAGCAGGAGCAACATCGTACGTCCGACTTGACTTATATTATCCAGAGCCGAGAAGGATGGAGTGATTGCAGGAAAATCATCGAAGGTACGAACATTACTCGATCCCATCAAAGATTAAACGTCGGGCCCAACAGAATTATAAAAATTCTTCAAGCTTCTCACTGAAAAAAAAACTGACCTTACTTACTTAAAAAGGCTAACTTTCACAGAAATGTGAGGTTCAGTTTTTTGAAGTGCACTAACCACGACGTGCTTTAGGCAGCGTTCAGACTTCGTGACGCTGTGTCGGACGCTAGAGCGTTCGACGCAGTCGTACGTTAGCGCGATCTATCGCTCAAACGTGCGACCGAAGCGCCGCCGTCGCGAAGCCTGGACGGACGCCTTAAAGGCAAGTTGTACACTTGCCTCGCTGGATCCTGGTCCTTGCCATGTGTCAAAGGGACCGCGGCTGCAGTAGCGTGCCACTTTCTTCGCTCAAAAGTGCATGGTAAGCGGGTGCAAGGGAGTAGTGATACCTGGGTGCCATTTCCGGACCCCTCCGCGATGCCCTACAGCCAACCACTTGCCTAACTATAACCAAACGCTCCAGTTGTCTGCGCCCTCTCACGCTTGGTTGTTCTCTCAACTTGGTCGCGATAAGCGCTTGCCGTTCATGTTTTCTCTGCGGGAGCTCGGCATTGATGCGCATGATGTAGATGTAGGGTGGATTTCGAAATAGTATCCAGCTACTACCCTACTAGCCCCACTTCCACGCACTTCTGATGAAAGTGCTAAACTCTTTGCTATGTGCAAGCCTAGCCAAACGGCACTTGGCAAGGATTCATCTTGCAGTGTGCGTACAGCCTCTTCTTAAGGGGTTGTTGCTGGAATAACAGTTCGTATTTAAGGGTACATCCAACGACTTGAATCCGATCATTTCAATTCCTCAAGCGATTCGGGTATCGATCGACGAGATTCGGAGCGAAGTGCAATCGATGACGATGGCAGCGGCGACATTTGGCGACCTCTTCCACATAACTCAAACGGTAAGACTGAAGAGTGTGTAGCGTTACATTCGATTTTTGAATGGACACATTACCCTCTCAAAGTGCGCACCACTTGCGCACTTTGAGAGGGTAAGTGAAATATGGTGATGTTGCGAAATTATCACACTACTAGTATATGAGCGGGCCGTGGGCGGGCGAGCCACGATTTATAACTATAAACATTCTGTTTGGACTGGATGCTTCACCAGTGTTACCAGACACTTAAGGCAGAGAACGGGCATAACGTCGGGGCCAACTTCCATACCCGCAAACACCTTTCATTGGTGCATGAAATGATGGGAGCTACTGCTGGAAAGGTCGCCAGGTTCCCGCTCATGGTGCTCATTGATCGTAGGTCATGAAAATTCTTTCCACTTAGCATTCAAGACACCTGCCATGTTATCTTGAGCACGGCTTCCTTAGCATTCAAGACACCTGGCATGTTATCTTGGGCAGGCTCCAATTTTCATTGGTGGGAGGACATGGGATCACACCCATGATGCTAGAGTATATGACTAGAAGCCCCAGTAAAAACACTCCGGTCGGGACCCTGCACCTTACCAAGGGCGCGCAGTGACTCTAAACCTAGTTGATAGTGATATGCAGGTGTTATGAGTGACTACATAGTTACTTCATACTAGTCGCTACAGTCACAGTCATGATCCCTGCAAGCGACAGGGGGTTATGGATTGGATGGCAGCAAGGCTAGGCTTCCCAACAGTTGTAGCGGGCTCAGGATGGCATTATTGGTAGAAGAATGGGCCTTGGCTGCGCTCCAAGCTGCCGTGTCACACGCCCTATCGCTTGCAGGGATCATGGCGGTATATACAGTACAGTAAGCACATTTTCGAGCTGAAAAATAATCTACCGCGAATTACTTCATCAGTAGGTTATGATCATAAGGTTCATATCCCATTCAGTACTGGATCTTTGACGTTAAGCTCTCAAATCGTCTGTTTCCAGCAAATTCGCCTCGAAAGCCATCGGATGCGTCTGGAGGTGCGTCGTCTCCTAGTTCTAAACATGCTCCTGATTGTGTGAGTGTTACTTTCGAGTTATTTTTTAGAATGATTCCTTTTACTGTTGTGATCTTTATTTAACGATCTTTGTTGAATAATTGCCTGTTTTTTACTGATCCAAATTCAGAGTGCACCATCTACGACGACGGGGACATACGACAATGCGATGTTACGAAGGTCTGATGAAACCCGAGAAAGCTCTGTGTAAGTAGTCTGACTCCTAGGGTTTGAGGATATGAGGTGTCCCCATAGGTGTGAGGATATCCGATTTCCAGAGAGGACAACTCAACAGCGACCATTTGCTCGCAACCGACAGGACATCCGATTCATCGCACATGGAATAGTCGGATGTATGGTAAGTGGACACGTTGCTGAGACGGTCTTGTTCGCTGCGGATGAAGGGGCGTGTCAGTGAGGCTGGCTTTGGCGCCCACCACCCCATTCTTCACCGATTGCTGAAGCGGGTAAGCGACAGCAACTGGTGGAAAACGATTGATATGAGCGACATGACGCGGTCTTATCCACCTTTCAAAAGAAAAAAATGGTTGGTGCCCTACCAATGCCATCCCCTCTTGACAAGCCGCATAATCCGCATCGGATAATATTGTATATTTTTCGTTTCTTATGTGATTCATTCGATTTTAATGGAATAACCTACATATTTTAGACGCCGAACGCGGAATTGCCCGATTTCCCATTACATCGCCGATGAACAAAACTCGTCATCAAAAATCGAAAAGGACCAGTGACACACTTCCGCTGAGCTTTACTGGAGTGCGGATGGGAACAGGACAACAACGAGGTACTGAACGACTGTTCGACTATTCCTTGGATTGGTCTTTCTATATTTATGCGAGAGAAAGACTATAAACTCAAAATTCCTGAGATGCGGTAGGCGTGGCAGCGTATCTGACTGGAACGTGGAGGCGCCTAGTGTTTCCGTGAGATATTTTCTTCATGAGACAGTTGTAGTCACATTTTGGTCCATCACGAACAAGGTGACAGCTGTATCAAATCAAAGTATCCCAGAAGTGACCCTATGCCCTGTCCAAATGCCACGCCCACTCCGTCTCAGGAATGAAGAGTATGCGTATAGTCAAAGAAAGTGTTGCGACATATTGGGTCGGGGTTAACTCCTAGAGTGAGCATGCTGGATGTTGTGCAGTTCGAGATGGCTGCAATCCGGGTCGTGGGATAAATTTTGGAGGAAAGCTGCCAGTCGGGTGTAGTTCGAAGTACTTTGCTAGGCGCCGCAGAAAAACTGGAGCAATAGTACCTACCAGTCAGTCGATTAACCACAGTGCAGCACTGCCACTATTAGATCCTATTGGTAACTTCTCGCGCTGGCGCTATTCCTAGCGCCTCTTTCGCCGCCCTGAAGCCTTGTCAATACCAGTCAGTCACCATTGAGATTTCCACCAGACCTGACTGTCGGCCTGTCTTTTCTCAAGCCTTAAAACCATTCACTTTGTGGTCGTTGTTCACTTCCGATTTCCGTCGATTCTGCGTTTGCTAAACCCACAAATCATTTGTTTTCCGCAAGTGTTTGCTCCGGTTTCGATTTCTGAGCACTCCAAAAGCTATTGCAGCTCATTCTTTATCCTTTTGGTGGCATGCCGTACTCATGGAGTTACTTGTATATGTTTAGGTAGCATTCTGCCGTCTGATCCGCAGAACTGTATCTATCGTGCACCACCGGTTTATGACGTCTGGCATCAGAAGTTTGTACAAAGTGATGGAATAACGCACACCTATAATCCAGCGTTTCCATATGATAATGTTCCGAAGAATCTGCTGACATACGACAATGCTCCGCCACCAGGACATAGGTTGGTTTTTCATTTACTTTTTTATTTACTTCAATAAACTTTCGCGTTGACCATACCCTTCTTGACATGCGCCATGCTTTCTGCTTCCACCCAGTGTCGTGGTGTAATTGCGAATGGGATCTGACCTGTACTGTGACTTAAAAGCAGTGAACAGGAGGGTTGGGGGCGGACGGTTACTGCCAGTGTCACTGGTGGAAGGGCTGGGTGGGTTGTGGCCAATCGCCCTCTCGCAGTCCTTCTACCAATGACGTTGGTGGTAACTGCCCATTCCAGCCATTGTGCCCACTGCCTTTGCGGACCAAGTGATGTACAATTCAGTGTTTTCACCCTACCAAACGAGGATAGTACCTCTAGCCCGCTCTGAAGAGACGGAAGACTTGGTTGACCAGAAATCAATCAGAAGTTGAACTCCACGACTGAGCGCGTGTCAAAGAGCGCTGCTCATCACTTCGCCACTCCGCTTCTTTCATGTATTTTAATGGGTTTTCTTGGCAGTGAATAGATCAACTTTCGTCAGGAAGGCGTTATATTTCTCGGAGTGAGTGAACATGGATCAATTCCATTTAGCCCATAAAATCAGCACTAATCAATAAGTGTAAGGGCAGGAAAGCGGCAGGTGTTGACCACTATCCTCGGGATAGCTGCGCACATATATGAGTTTCGCACATAGGGGCATTCTGACGATTATGTCTTGTCGCATTGCCATCTTGTCAGATAACTCTACCAGGGCGCTAGGAACCTCAGATGGTAACATATGAGGGATTTTTTGCCCTACTAGGCTACCACTGTTGCGGAGGTGAAGACATTCGCTTAGGTCTAAAGAGGCATGTAGATCTGGAAAGGTTGAAACAGAGTGTGGTAATTCTCGCTTACGATAGTCCCAGTTTGCACGGAGTCCTTCAAATGCCCCCACCCCTCTCCCGGGACGTAGCAGCGCCCTCTATAAGCTAACCAACTGCGACGGCATTGTCGGCCTAGGCGGGCTCCGACTCTTGTATTAATGTACAGGGGGGGAAAAAAGACTTTTCTTCCTTGACTTTCGAGGCGCTATAAGTTACACTTTATTAATTCTTATCGGACATTTCTACCACCATATTAAAGAGCATATTAAATACTATCATGATACTCCGCCACAGCCTTCTGGAGGAGCGCCATCGAGAGATTCTGCCACGCGACCGTGAGTGGGTGCCTGAGTTCAGCGAGATCGTTGATTTCTCCGCCAGTAGACCACCCTATTGAACTCCGCCCGAACCAGGTAATTGAGGGGTTTAGGTCAGGTGACCTGCTTAGATATTCCACCTTCTTCAGGTACTCAACGCCCTTCCATTCCAAGTAGGCAAGAGTTTTCCCAACGCCCTTTGATTCCATGTGGTGTCACCCAATCCTGTAGCAGTACAAAGTTTCCAAGAAGGTACGGGCGACGACATGTGGAGAGGATATTCTTCTCGAGTTGCTCGATGTAACCGCCAGCGCTCACCTTCAGTCCGGGGCCCACGAAGAAAATATCGGTCTCTCCATTCCAGGTACGTCCGGTCCCACCATCAACTGGCGCCTTGGCGACTGAGGTGAAGATGATGTCCTAGACCGTGGCGTTGTCGGAGCTGCTCGATGTTGGAGGTCTTCCAGATCGAGAGTACTGCTCCAGGTTATCCATGGGTGACTCCATACCGTTTCGCAGCTGTTTGGAGGTGACATGAGTTTTAAAGGTCTTCTCCAGTCAGGGTTGACTGGACTTCATATTTTGGTGTACATGAAGGTGATGGGCGAGAGCCAGCTCCTGCTTAAGGAACATCTTGGGTATCTTCCGCCCTGGTACTCGTATCCACGTCCTCTGTCTGGGCTGCGAAAACTTTGCTGATATGTGACTCGGTCGAAGTGACTTTTTTGCCCCCCCCCCTGTAGTTCGCTGCGGACGGTTGGGCGTGTCAGGCGGGATGAGTTTGGCGCGGTGCCAAACCCTCCACCAGTTGTTAAAGCGAGCAAATGATATGACTGTATCATATCGTTCGTATTACTCGTTTTCTACCACTTTTTGTCGCATGCGCGCTTCAACAAGAAGGCAGAGAACGGCTTTGACGGCGTGACACACTCATACTGCCTGACACGCCCAACCGTCCGCAGCGGAGAGTATAGGGCTTTGCGGCCTCCAACTCGGTGCAGTCTTCCTGAATGAACGCAAAAACATCAAGGATTGTTCCGTCATGGCGGTACAATTGGCCTGCCTAAAAAATTCCATTTCAGCAGATGGGACCATGACTGCTCTCATAGCACTGGAAGAGTCGTCGGCTCATCCGTGATGGCTGCAGTTCGACAGCAAGATGGTTCGCACACTCTGCCGACTTGTGAGCTATTTGAAAATGCAGCACTTTACAAATTTTTTGAATTTTGCTGAGATCACGATCGATATTTTTCCAAACAAATGACTTTTAGCTCGTCCACGACAACGACCATCTTTGGTGAACACCTTCGGGGCGACCACAGAGAGTCCATTCGAAGAAATGTCCCATGAAAAGCGGCTGGGTAAGTGCTGCCAGCTTGATTCTGGATCCTTCCCAAAGTAATGAGTATTAGATAAGGGTTTCAGATGACAGTTCATTTACATTACGCGGTCGAGAGGATTCGCTTGGACTGAGTATGAGCCCTCAGTTGAATTCACGTGATCCATCAGTCACCTTCGCCTGTTCCACTTTAGGACGATGTCAGTGTTGTCACTCGTTTTCGTCCTCATTCCCTTGACCTACGAGCGCACTGGTAGCTAAATCAAAATGTTGCAGCTACTTCTCCAGACACAATTTCAAATGGTACACCAACCGGTCGAGCACCTCTTGCTATGCCAGAGGAGCTAACTGGTAGCACGTCGACGAGTATTCTGAGCTCCAGTGTCTCCCCTGAACGAGACGCCGTTTCGGTACGTTTCACCACAGAATGTGCCAGCTAACAGCATGCTAAAGTTGTAGTGAGCAGTAATTATGAATGCCCTTAGAATAGGGCAGTATTTAGCATTGACCAATTTCGCAGTCCTGCCATTTTGCCTGTATGTCTTTTGATCACTTTCTCAGGTGTGTGACATTAAGTTCGCTCACTGACCACGCATAGCCGCTGTTTGAGCTTGTAGAGCTTTACGGATTGAGTAACAGAGATGTGAAAATGATAAGCTGGGCTATTTTGGATGGTGGTGATTAAACCTTTTGCCAAAGGAAATGCCCTAACTATCACCACTGGTGGATTCCCGGAGGCCAATTACAGCTCGCAAATTACTTCTGCCAGAAACGCAGCGTAACGCGCATTTCTCACTTCTTGTGCTCTTTTCTTTGGAACTGCTAACTTTTTTTCTCGTTCCTTTAATAAAAGTAGTTGTTATAAGCAACCTGTTTTTGGGCGTTGAAGGAGGAGTGCCCACGGCAGACTGTTGAGACCGTGGCAACGGCTATCTGTTGAACAGTCAATGACTCAGGTACAAATGAGTGGAAGGTTATCAATGTTTTATCGTGCCCTCCTCGTTCTCTCATTCACGTGGCGCTGTCTACATGTCTGCCTGAACCATCAGCTGCCCTTTGTCGCCACGCTCACTAAAAAGTCTGTGGACACTCCCCCTCCAGCGTGAAGTTGTGGGCTGCATGTATTACATAGGCCTTGATTACTGACAATACTACAATCTCGCTATTCTCTCTACAACGCTTTCTAATGTAAGCTATAGCTGTAACGGTGAACAACTTTTGCTTTCACCTGTGTGATCTACTCCATACCATACTTATTACAGCGACTAATCTCGTCCAACAACAGCGCTGCGAATTCTTCGACACCACAAGCGGTGAGTTTAAGTTACTCAAAAAGGTTGTAGAGTCGATATGCGTGATGTGCAAAATGGTAGTGCATGAGTAGGGGCCTAAGGACAGTGCCTCTGATTGGTGGTTTATTCATGGTCACCAATCATAGACACTCCCTGCGCTACTAATTGCAAATAGGTTTCGCGGAAAATGATTGCAGGCGGTAACCAAATACACAACCACGCTGGTCATATGCGCGGTATCAGAGTAACTCTGGGCCTCTCCTGTTCTAGCACACGACCAGCTTTGACTGGGACTTCGAGTATTCAGCACGTTTCACCGATGTGTGTTCTCAGGATGACGATCGATTGGACCCGAACGATCGTTCCAGTACCGATTTTTCCCTTTCGACTCTGACAGTGAACTACTCCGATGGACCTCCATCACCGGATTCGTCACGGAGTAAAATATTCAATACGCTGTGCTCAAATGTATGTTCATAAGTAGGGCTTTTCAGAACACTTGGACGTCATAATAAAAGCGTCTTTTTTTAGTCTGAACTGGGCGACAAACTGGCTATGTCCAAGCAATTTCCGCTTTCGCCTTCTGCAACAGGTACGCTTTCGTTGGTGGTTTGTTGAGCTTTCATCAAGTTTCGTGGACTTGCGGTTACGGAGTAAAGTCTCAAACTCCTTTCAAATTAGAGGTAATCGGGACCAAATGGTGATCACCAGATGCATTCAGTCTTTGCAGTGAATCTATCTTGGCGCTATAGCGCTATAGCAGCTTCTTCTGTTCTCACCTATCTCATTTGACACTTTTAACAACAATCCTTGGCAGAAAGTGGTCATAGTCAAATCTCTATTTCGCGCGCGTGGTCACGAGGCGTCTCTCGATAACCGACGCCACCTAACTGGCGACGAAGAGAATGCTCCGCCTACCGCGCTCCACACCCAAAACTCATCCAAATTTCCTTCTGGTGCGTTGGAAGATGCTAGTCCCTATTTTGTGCAGAAATCAGACTCATAATCAGCAATCGTTGACAAGCTGTTAATGTCTGCAACTGCTAAAGGTTGACCACTACACCGACTCGTGCGTTAAAGGCACCTCCCGCGACCAAAAGTTGTGGGTGGTAGGGCTTAAATATTAAGGACAAGGTGGTAAGTGACTGAACAGTGATGAAAATCTTCCAAAGTGCCCGAAATAGGACTCTATGCGGGAATGAATTGGTACGAGCGTAAGGCGGATTAAGGGGGTTCTTGTTCATGTTCCCACTCATTAGTGTCATAACGATATCAGCTCACTTCTCTTCATCGCCTCACTCTCACCATGCCATATAGAAAGAATCAGTAGCGGAGCAACAGCACATTCAGTAAGCCTTCAGAAATGAGTGTTGGGTGTGGCTTGCGCTAGTGGGCGGATCACTACCTTCGCCGCGATTCTGTGGCGTCCTTATATCATGTTTTCAAGCGGTGAAAGTGACAACCTCTGTGCTAGCGGCGGACAAGACTGCCTTTTCCAAGGGCAGGGTCTGCACACAAAATGTGTGTATGAAGTAACTTTGAGTATGAAATTGTGGAGCCAATCGCTCGCGGCCCCATCCACAAAACTACTTGCGTTAAACCTAGCGTGCTTGTTATTTTCTATGAGAAATTAGTCTCTTTTACCATGCATTTTACCTTCATCTCTTTGTGCACTCGAAATTTTATCTTCAGAATGTAGTAGCGGAACGATGGCATCGTCCTGTTCACTACCTATGGTTTCCCAAATATCGACCACTCCACCGTCAGATTCGTCTTTCTATAAGCTTTACCATCAGAACAGGTATCACCCATAGTGGATTGTTTTGATTCGAGAGTTTTCATATTTTTTGAAAAATGCTCTCACGAGTAATATGTTTAGCGCTTCTAGTGCCGAGACAAGTCCACCTGTTGGCGTAAAATTGCGTCCTCAATGGGAATCGGCGACTATCCGAGCTTTAGAGAGGCAGTCTAGTAAAGGAAGCGAGAATCAGTCTATCAACGAGCTGGACGAATGGAAGAAGGTAAGTTTTTGGGAAGAGGCTTGAAGACTCATATTTTTTTGTTGCTCGTGTGTATGGATCCTACCTTGCCATTGTGCCTTTATCACTTGCACACTTCCGCTCTAAGTTGGTGTGGGCGGAGCGCACCAGTGAGGAAGGCACATTGGTAGGCGCGGCTCCGCCCTCACGACCGAAGTGGAATGTCTTTTTCGTCTTGTGAAAACTTCAAAATGGTGAATATAGTAAACAATTCTGAACTTGTTAGATTGACGACATCTTGTCATCATTTGGTGGAGCTGTGTGTCGTGAATCGGTATTCGCTGCCAACTATGAGCCCCAGGTCGCTGTATTTCTTCGAGATCGTCGATCTCAGGCTCTCACACTCCAGCTCACTTCACCACCGTCGGCCACTCGTCTCAGTTCCTGCACTGCCTCGTCCTCGTCGTATAAGTTCGATCCTGTACGTGAATGAATTCATTCTGGTTGCTGTTTCCATTCCACTGAATTGCTCTCTTTTTAGGATTGTGCCAATATGAGCCACTGGCTGTGCACAACGGTCGGCTTACCAAATCAAAAGGCTAATGAAGTAGGTCGAATACTGACGAAGGCAGGATTTGACAAAACCACGCAGCTGGTGCGTGTGATATTTTTTTGATCGATTATTATTTCTATCTTTGAAGGTGCATTCGTAGTTAGCATTCGTAAGGTGTAGTCGTATGGGAGTAAAAGGGCCTACCACTCTGTCTTCCATCTTGTTATTCCTCTCTGCAAAACTATAAAGAGGAATAGCGCACCAGCAGAGAACGCAGGTGATGGGCCCTGCCCCGCCCACGCGACCAGCGTGGAATGTCTCCTCGAAGCCATTTGGTAGCAAACATAATATTGCTGATATGAATTAGTAACTATTTTTATTGATACCCTTCCAAATAAAAATTCGTATGAGAATGGTTTATGTTTGTTTAGTGCTTAGTATTCCATTCATTTTCCTTTTTTTCGATTTTTTTTAATTCTCATCACTGTTTACAGGAGGGTTGTCTCACAGCAAGAGAGCTCACTGCCTTAGGAATCGACAAGTCTATTCAACAACAGATTCTTTCCTATCTGGCAACTGTTAACAGTACCAGGCCTAACGCTAGTAAGTTATCTACAAACCTAACAGCCTTTCAGTTTTTTTTTTTCGTCTTTCCTTTACTCAAAATCCCAGTTAATATTTTTAGTAAATTAAGCAATGTTACAGATAGTTTCAATTACGTCTCCGACTGGTTATGCTCCTTGGAGTTAACGGATTATCTTGGAAATTTTGTTACTGCTGGTTTGAAATCGATGTTGATTGTAAGGACAGCAGATCTTACGAGGGATCATTTAGAGGTTAGAATTTTTGTTGTGTACACAATTGAGCAGTAGCTTATAACGATTAGATCCCCTGTCAGCCCCTGCCCGTGCCAATCAAGCCTTCCTTCCCTTCGGATACAACTAGTTGGTGCTAGATCCGTCCAGAGGTACATAGGTTACAGCTGCACGCCATAGAACAGATGACTTGACATCCCACTAGAACCCTGTTCAGAACTTCTGCTATGGTTAGATACGGGAAAGAGGGGCAGGTTAGCCAGCCAGGTCAGGCAGCGATTCTCAGGTCATCCTTCCGAGCAGTTCTTCATTAACACATTTTCAGAAGATGGGTATAACTCTACCGGGACACATTGCACGTATTCTTCACTCTTTGATGGAGGCTAAAATAGAAGAAGCGTGCCAAAGGAGCGAACGGTTAAGGGAAATGCGACGTGCTGTCACATCAACCACGCCAACGTCAAGTATTTTGAAGGAAACATCCTCTGAGGAAAGGTGAGGAGGCCACATTTTCTGAACCAGAAATTTTTAACTGCATGTATTTGCAGTGGTAAATGGTGTAATATATTCCTATCGGAATTCAACGACATTTGTACTTTCAGTACGTCAGCCTTTGAATGTGCCGACATTGGTGGGAACGAGGTTGTGAAATGTGACTTATTGCATGGCCACGCCTCCTTCTCAGCTCACTATCTTGGCAGTATGGAAATTTCTAATATCGATGGTACTGAGGAAAGCCGACGAGCGATGGCCAAGCTTAAGGTAAATACAGCTCCTAACACTGACATGGGGACTTTATTGGGGGCCGTCAGCCATCGAGCTTTCAAAGTTGTGAAATTTTGCCTCTTGGTGTTATCTGAATTTAAGACCTTTAACAACGGGCAACAAAAAGGACAGCATGGACTGTTATGACTTATTAAAAAGGAAGAGCTTGAAGAGTTTCACTACAAAACTACTTTTATAGGCGCTATTCAGCTTGGGAGGGACAACATACTTTTCGCTAGTTCCTTTTGCCACTTCATGTTAAAAGGTCTCATTTTGGCGAAACCTGTAAACTTGGGTGAAGCTGCTAAATGCTGCAAAAGAATCACTTCGGTTACAAAATGTACAGGTTTTTACAAAATGACTTGTACAAGCTTCGCTGAGCACCAGTGGATGCCCCCACCAAGCCGAACTGCACTCTTCTATTTTGTACTTCCCACTTTTTAAATTTTGCTTATCTAACACATTTTCCAGAAATCGATTCGGGAAATAGCGAAAGTGCCACAGGTCTTTCTTGAAATATCTATCCATGGTGTACGGATTCTCGATGGAAAGAACGGGGTAACTTTCTAGTTTATACTTTCTTATATTCTTTGTTCATTGAAGTGCGCTACAAAACGGAGCGACGGATGATGAGTGCTTGACTACCTGGAATACTGTGTTTTTTGATTGCGCAATAAGTATCGATTGGCGAAGTTTTTACGCGCGCAGATGAAGCTGCAATTGCAGCAACTTGCCCAAAACAGCTGACCGTGATGTCAAGTATACACATTTCTCTCGTAGCATATTCCTTCGCAGTTATTGTTAACAAATGTGTTTCAGCAGTTAGCCGTGGAGCACGAGATTTCTCACATACAAATTGTTTGCCAAGATGAAAGGGATTTGAATTGCTTTACATACATATCTCAGGATGCCGAGAAAAACTTATGTCACGTGTTCTGTGTTTTGACGGCAGTAAGTATTTGTTGTTTTTTTAATCATCTCTTTTGGATACGACTTTTTCATTTTATTTTATTTTATCTGCCTAAGATGAAACAGGAGGACTGGACTGAAACCTCGTTTTCAGGATGTTGCAACGGAGATAATCGTTACATTGGGGCAAGCGTTTGAACTCGCTTATAAACTTCAAAATGGTGTAGCACTCGAGGAAATTGCAAACGTCTAGTTGTATTGTAGCCTTCAAGGCTTTCGAACATAGTAGCAAATCGTGAGATCTAATCCTGGTGCTTTCACGGTGCATCCTATTGATTGATTCTATTGTGAAAATTATATTATTATTTGCGTTATGTGAGATGATGTATTGGGGTTACCGGGAGACTTTTCTGGTAAAACCTGGTGAGAAAAGGCTTTTGGTGCAGAGGCATGATTGAAACGGTGTACGCGGCGTGATCATGGGGTTCTATAAACATCAGGGCTGTTGTAAGCGCGCGCTCATACTCTGCGAATGAGGAGATTCAGTGATTCGGTAGGCTAGCAATTTGAGAGATTGTGCGATTAGGAAAGTATAGGTATCGATCTGGGCTAATGGGATGAGCGACCCGACGATTTGAGAGACTTGGGGTCTGTAGCGATTGCGCGCCAAAAGAGTGGATGGGTATCGATCGGCGTCGGTTCCTAGCGGTTGCGAAGATACTACGCTCCAGCGATCTACCGAGGCGCCGGATCAAATCGCTTGTTCTCCGAATCTCGCCGGTTTCCAGATCGATACCTACACTTTCCTTGTCGCGCAATCTCTCAGATTGCCAAGTCTCCCATATCGCCGAATCTCCCCAGTCGCGAATCGTAAAGGGACCTAAAGTGTGCTAGTGGTGTTCACTAACCAGCAGAACAGCGTTAGCGTCTCAGTGACGCTCCAACCTAACAACTTACGTACTTTGGGTTCATTCCCGCTCAGCCGCTGGACTGCCGCAGCCGAAGTATCCCAAGTAAGTTTAGAGAGTAAGTAGGTGTAGGTGAGACGTATGAGTGTCACGGTTCACTAAGGAATGGGAGATATTTGGCTAAATGATTGATATTATCTTCCCGGGATCGATATTTCTACTACTGAAAGTGCCCTAGTACCATGAAAGCGCCCTAGTAACCAGTTAGTCTTCCAGAAACCCTCCAGGCCGAGTAATTTTCGTGTAAATCGCATCTGATGTCGATATGTCTTCGCCATAAGTGTATATATTCATATGTTAGATGTTCTGAAAGATTTTTTCAAACTATGAAGTTATTTATTCGGAGGACACGTGTGATTCGATTGTATACATGGCTGCAATTCTCAAGTACAGCAATAAAATGTACATAAAGTACTAGTACTACCGGTCGAAGAAAATCGGGCAGTTCATCGGAGCGTACATCATCTCGGTATTGCATGGATCTTGGTACACAATTTTATTGTGGGTGGAGTTTGCAGCAGTACCGACGAATACGAGTGGTACACCACTATCGCGGCATTTCTGCAGCATCCAATCACCGGCTGTATTTGTGGATATGTGCAGGGCAAACTTGACATTGGGGCCGGGAATGAGATCCGATATACATTTGAGTAGGTGACCGGCGTCGTTTCTATTCGATGCGAAAATCGGTCCAATTTTGAACAGGTCACTGTTGTGTAGTGTTGGCACAGCTCCAACTAGTCCGTGCACATTTCCACTCGCATCGAACAAGGCAACACCTGAAATGAGGGAAAAGTTGGTCAAGCAGGCACTATTCAGTACATTTATCCGCCTCTAATAAACCGATTCTATTCATTTTTCTAAAATATCTCCCTAAAAAGGACCCTGGACAATTTAGGCCCTCCTACTACCGAAATGGGTCAGTTTACGACAATTCACAATGGCACGAGATTTCCAGCCCTTTAATTGTTGACTGCCACAATCCATAACTAGGAGTAAAAAGGGGCGTGTTGATACACATAATTGCGAGTGTGGCGACGTCTGGGAAGGTCCGGACGGAAGAGGGGACAGACATACAGATAGGAAAGGATCTGCACTGGAATACGAGATGTCTTCGGGCTCGCAACTATAATAGTAATTGGGACCCTTTCCCGCCCCTTTCCTCGGATATGGGCGGTATGTTGATTTGTCAACTGACAAATCGAAATTGATGGGACGTGCAATCAGGGTACGTGCTGCAGTTGGGGAAAAATTTCAAAAATTAAGATCCCTTCACCTCAAAACTTCCTCCTCAGGTGCGATCCTTCCCATGTTCCACTTGCTCAACATCTTTCTGAACTCTTCCAATTTCCCACCGCGTTTTCCGGGCTTTTTTTCCGAAAGTTTCCCCATTTTTTTCCCATAAAAATCACCGTAGAGAGAGAGGAGAAGTGGGTTCAAGCGCACTCGAAATGGGAAAAGCGGGAAAGTCAGCACGGGAAAACGGAGAAAGTCAACAATTGAAAAATTTTCCTCTGAAGCGAATACGACTGCTCCCTGCAGCGACTAAATGTGACTCCCCGTCCCGCTAGGGATCTCCAATTTATGACGTACCTTGGGTGCAGTACAAGCTCAATCTAGTCCAGCTCTCAAGGATCATGGCCCATCGCTGCTGTGGTAGGTAATCACAAGGCGGTCAAAGGAATGATCCAGGTTAAGGGTAACTACCAAGCACATTATTGAGGTCCCGTCCCCACTAACTGTGAGCAGTATGAGGTTGTCTAATCGTAAGTATCAATTTTTATCTCCGTCGCTATTCACCTCCCCGTGATAAGCTCCCTTCTTTCTGCTGATGGTGAGCAATAGCTGAATGAAAAACTCGTTACCTTTGGTGAAAAAGAGCGAATGGGAGTCTTCTAGCGAAACGTCCGCCGATTTACGACCCACTAACGAGAGTTACGTTCGTATAAGCGGGCGAGCTTGCTCAACTGATTCATCGTTCACTAATCCCTCTGAGAACCGAACAACCGCTCATTATCGTATCCATTACAAAAACGCACACTCCGTTATAAACGGACGAGCGGCAGACCTCTACAACAATGTGACATTACTGCGATGAATCCTCCTTTGTCTAACACGGATAAAGATGAGAGGATGGGCATAAGCGGCCAACCAGTGGTTGCTGGAGTACTCCGCCATTCCGATCAGCGTGGATATGCCTTGGCTACTATTGAATTTGACTTTATAATTTTTCATCTCCCCCCCCCCACCACGAAGCCGCAACCTTACTAGCATATTCACCACTCCACATAGGATAGCAGCAAAATACCGTTAGCAAGAGGATACGGGAACGGCAGGGCTGCGTTCGACGGGAACATTTCCACAGACTTGTTCTCGTGGAAGTGTTGAAGGCCTGTAATCTCATTGCCTGATGACCCATCGCATAAAACAGGTGTTCCAACTGTTCACTTCTCCAACCATGGTTTGCTTTCCACTTGAAATTCAAAAAACGTTTTCGGGCTCCTCCTCGAGAGCATTCACGTCCAGCAATCAAACATGAGCCAAAGATCATACTCGATAAAAATTTGAGTCAAAGCTCAGCGGCTACGTTGAAATGCGGATAACATTCTAATTATGAACTGCACTGCGCGACGTGCTAAATGTTTGTTACTCATCGTGCGTCATAATCAGAAGCGGATTATTACTCTAGTCGCTGCCGGCATGGATAGGGCGTGTCAGCCAGTATGACGTGGCGTCACGCCGTCAAAGCCGTTTTCTGCCTTCTTGTTGAAACGCGCATGCGACAACCAGTGGTAGAAAACGAGTAATACGAACGATATGATACAGTCATATCACTTGCTCGCTTTAACAACTGGTGGAGAACGGGTTTGGCACCGCGCCAAACTCATCCCGCCTGACACGCCCAACCGTCCGCAGCGAACTACACAATAGTTTAGAACATAACAAGACTTACTTCGCGCTAAAGAGGCGCAGTACCTTCTTACAAGCAGCTCTGACACGCCACAGCAAATCAAGAACTAATCTGTTGGGTCTTGAGTCTTGGTGCGATGTCGCTCACGGCGATCGGCCAAGCGTTTACTATCCCCGTGTCATCGTGGAGAAAGTTTCAAATTGAATATAGATTTAATGTCTAGTAGGCGTTTTGTGTCTTTTGAATATCACAGTTAAAGGTTCTAGCTAATCCCATCGATTAGCCAATGACAAGTTTGGCTGGAAAATTGCCAACCATCCCGCTGATATAAAGTTAAGCGCAGAATTTGCATTTGTCTACAGCGCTACATGGCCACTGATGAGTGCGCTGGAGCTATTCACTGGTATTGTAGTGGTCTGGATGAAGAATGCCTAACGTACGTTATGTCGCTGATGCGGGTGTAGTTCAGTAAATCCGAACTGCTTACAGGGCGTTAAAAAGGAAGTCATGCGTTGCAGCATTCGCAACTGTACCCAAAGTGGAAATGGTGCCGCAACCTTTTCCACCAATCAATGCTGCCATTGCAAGGCTGCCACCATTGGTGGAAAAGGCTGCCTCGGCTACGCCCCAGTTCATGCCTCTTCGAGTGCCCTCTCATTTGGAGAGACCATGCTATATAAGAACTTCATCGGAAACTGTATAGCCTGCCTGCAAATCAAAACAAAGCAGTGATCATCAAAATGTGCCAACCTGCTCTTCCAAGGGCCGGTTTGTGCTTAGTGTCATTTGATATTATGTGCACCAAATGTGCCATCATTTTCATTCCGACTCCAAGTCCACGTAGATCGGGTCTCATCACATAGAAGGCACCGTATACGACGTCCGTTTCAACGAGAGCAACACCACCCAGAAGGAAGTTATCTGAATATCTTCATTTAGAGAGCTGTTGAAGTACTTCCGGTTCTCCCCTTTTTCGAATTTCAACGATCTACTGGGGTCGTAGGAATTTGTACTACGAACCTGACTTCCTTACGGCGAAAATAGGATAGATATTCTTCATTTCGGGCATCAGTTGCCACATGGCTTCGTCTTGGGTGGTCCATGGAAGCGGACGTACCAATTCTCTCATTTGATCCCATATTTCTGCTGTGCCATGTAGAACAATCTTTAAGCAAATATTCTAGGGAGTGTCGGGAACGACAGGTCTTCACTAGTAAAATGTGTCGTAAGAAAAAAAATGTGTTTAGTGAACGATGCTTGATTTTTAATTTTTGAGGCAAATCTGTTAAATGATAATAGAGTCGCAGGCAGTACTGTGAAAAGTTCCAAATCCCAGCCATGCACTCGAAGGCCCATGCTATGGTAGCAGCATGTCTTCAGCGGCGTTTATGTACAGTCTCGTTCGCTGCTGGCACTGGGGCGTGTCAATAGGCCAGGTTTGGCGCGGTGCCACCAGTTTTCTGTCAATGGTGGCCGCCCAATAGCTTCAACAAATGTTGGAGAACAATCAGGCGCCACACCAAACCGTACCCCTGACACGCTCAGCGTCCGCTGCGAACTAGACTGTGTATACGGGTGACTAGGTCATGAAACCCTGCTCTTCTTGAGCATTTTGAGCAAGTTGCGCCTCCCAAGCGAAGACAGTAGAGAAGGAAAATGTTGAAAAACGAAAGAAAGAAAGAAGCCACTGCGTACTTCAACACGAGCAGATCGCGTCGGAGAGCCCAAGTTCTGTGAGCTTCTCACACGACCTTGCTTGCTCCCAAGTTCCGCGTGGACCAGGTGGAACAACCATATGAAGACTTCTGGTTTTGCCGTGAGTGATAGAAACCAACGAAACCATCATAGTTCCTACATGAGGTTCTAGTTCTCTCTACATTCAGTGCAGGCCTACCAGAACTAGTATGTACCTTTCAAAAATAGAAAGAAAGGCGCTGTCGTCAATGTGTTGTTGAAAAATCATTTGGCGATTTTTGGATGCACAGAACCTATTCCTTATACAAGTAGTCTGCTCAGAGTTGTCCCATTTTCACAGTTAGTATAAGGGTGCTACGGAAGTCATCAGCTGAAAGAATACTAGTACCGGAAGTTGCCCCGACCCATCTCGGCTAAGATATATCAACGATTCTGCTCTACCTTCCTTGTCTCTAGTATTTAGCCCTTATAGCAGGACATCCCTCCTTCGACAGCTCGTCAAATGCTGGAGCGTCATTTAGCGCGCTCTCTACTGCTCTAACCATTTTTTCGTCATTGACCTCACAAGTGCTAGAAGAGATGGAGGGCAATAGTAAGCACTGCTGACTTCACTGTTCATGGTTACCTGAAAGATGGGTACCTTCCGGGAGCAAAAGGAAACGACCCATCTCTCGGGAAAGGGAGGCATAGGTTGTACCATCTTCGCCGCTTGAAACCGCGCGACAAGGTCGCAAGGCGCATGCCACGACTGAGAAACCCTTTACAATACCGGCTAAGATTGTTCATGAAAGTAAGACCACTACGTGGCGTAGCGATCCATTTGCTCACCTCTGCGTGCGCTTGTCTGGCTCAACCCCATTTGATCTCTCACCAGCGCACAAAGTATCTCTTCTCACACACGGCGCAGAATCGGCTCTGTAAAACACGACCGTAGGGGAAGTCGTATCAGGCCGCTGGGAAGGGAAGGAGTGGTTTTTCCGAACGCAAAAAATCTTTTCTGATCGTCGGTTCTTCCGTCACACTCACGTTATATACCTTCCATGAGTTGGCGACGAAAAAGGGGATGATTAAAGGTGCCTGCCTGCCCACCGCACCTACAGCGAAATTCGAGGGGGGGGGAAGTTGATGAGAGGAAAAGTGGCTTGAGTGGCACGAGGAAAGATCAGGGGGAGGCACAACAGAAAAATTCCACAGAACCCGATGGTGTACCCAGTTTTCACCGAGCATTTCTAAAGAATGAACGTCAACTAAGCCTTATTCGGGGTGTTTTCGATGATTTTTTTTCTTCCTCTCTTTGATGGTGACTCACCCCGTACCATTCTCGATATCCATTTTTGGACACCACCGTCGGCGCCAGTGTCGTTTTTAGGCATTTTTGTCCCTCTCCCAATCAATTTCTGCTTTTAGGCACTCGTAGACCTTGAACGAGAAGCAAAGCTTGGAAAGCTGGCCGAACAAAGTTTGAACCTCGTGACAGAAGCAAAGCAATGCAACAACATGCTGAGGTTTCAAGATGAGATAGCGCGGTCATCGATCACAGGAACGTT